GCAGGTGATGGAGCAACTGATGGAGCACTCATAACACATTGTAGGGAAACACATCAGGTCAGCAGAACAGATGATTCACAAATATGCTGCAAATCAAATAAAAATTATGTTATTTGATAGATTCAAATAACACCTCTCTACTACACTCACACATCAGTGCAAGAGCTACATACTTTATTTCCCAACAGCATAACCCTGAGAAACAAGGGCCAATTGAACTAATCAGTATGGGAAGGTGACCAAGAGGCAACTGCTGTTCTTTCAGAATCCCAACATCAGCTCTGGAGAGCAGCTTTTCTAGGTTTTGCTGCACTACTGATAGCTTCAGCTAGGTTTTCAAGTAGTTCTGGCAGCTCATGGTTCAAATCCAGGTAATTAATCTTTTAATCCAGGTTACTCACGCCCCCACCACAATATCACCATATGTGGGTATCTCTACCCAGCACACACAATCAAACCAAAGGAAAGTATTGGGTTATGATATTAAGCATTAGAAAAACCTTTCTTTATCTTTAGATCAAACTTTAAACTGAGGCAAGAAGGCAGAGAGAGCCTGGCTGCTGTTGCAGTTGAAGAGCCCAGAGAAGAGCTCAGGTTTGCTGAGGTGTCCTGAGGACAAAAGGTTCACCAGATTTAAATAGTTGCCTCAAAGGTGTTTCCATGTTGCTTTCTGAAAATCAGTAGGATGTGTAATAACCATCTCACCAGAATCCACTGTACTGAAAAGGATGCTCCTAGTGAACTCCAAACACCTCACAGAACCAGTAGAAATGGGGCACAATGAGGCATCCTACCACCAGCCTCAGAACTCACACAATTCATGAACCTTCCCATAGCCTGCAGGGAAAATAAATATTATTAAGGTTAATAAACAGGGCAATTTTTTTGGTGAAACACATTGGTACACCTGGATTTTTAAATTTTGTTTCCCGCCACAAAACACAGTCACTGGTATCTATCTTCAAAGCAGTGCTGGGAAAAGAACCACCTCCCAGAAATTCATAGACATGTCAGGAAAGAGTTGAGTGATGTGAGCACTATGAGACTCCAGAGATGTTACACCCAGGGGAAAACTGTGTATTTTTTAATAAGGCCACTCTAACACTTAAGATTCATTATATTGAGCATCTCTTTATACACATGCATTCATCAAACTGTGTGCTGGTCTGAAGTTTCATGAAGTACAGTGGAAACACATTAACAATTAACAATGGGTTTATCACCCCTGTAACACTGTGTAACTCTTGCTGGAACCCAGAGCATCCTTGAAGCAGGAGCAGCCTCCTCTCCACCTAACACTTCATGATCACCACCCAGACACATTCAAGAACCTCCAGCCTCCCAAGAAAACTACTCCAGCCAGAGCTGGAACACTTCCCCCTCCTTGGCAGCACTTCTCCAGTTCTGTTCCCTTCTCCAAGCTCCAGCGCCACGATGTCTTCCTTGTAGGGAGGGACCCAAACCTGATCACTATTCGAGATGCAGCCTCACCACAGCCTTGGATGAGATCCAGGTTGTGCATCCTCAGAGGAAAATAACCATGTACTGCTGACTGTTGTTTCTTTAATCACTTGAGTTAATAGGCAAGAAACACATTAAGATTTATAAAAAAGGACAAAAGTAATGGAAAATTTTAAGTTCTGGAAGAGATAAGCGACCTAGAAAATCCGATTGTTCTCTGAACAGCAATTGCATTAAGTTTGGAAGCTAAGTGTAATAATTAAGCTGGAAGAATAGATTTTAGTGGCGCTTAAAGAGCTAATTTCAACTCCTCCTAAAGCCATGAATCTCCAGCAAATCTCTCAGCAATAACAATAAAAGGTTTTGCATACAGATCTGAATACTGAGGGTTTGTAAAGCACCTCAGCTCATCCAGCAGCACTTTTCCATACGGACTCAAGAAGTTTCTCTTCTCTCTGGCTGAGGCAAGAGGATACCCAGATTACACCCAGCCATCCCCCAAAGGCTTCTATGGTCAGTTCCTCCGGTGCAAAATCCTGTTCCTGACATTTACCAGCAGCAGAGGATTTGTGGAAATGGGAAAACTTACTATGACATTCTCCCAACCCTTGCTGTGAGAAAACTTGTGAATTCAATCTGAAAGTGCAAAGGTCCCTGTTCCTTCCAAACACTTCAGCATGTGTGTTCTGGATACCTCAAAAAATTCTCCAAATTTAACTATGTAGCAGGGAATATTTGTCATCAAAACCACCAGTCTTGGTGCTTCTGTGTGCCAATAGGCAAAAAAAAGGGTAAAATGCAGGTGAGAATTACCTTAAATCCTGGTTTGAGTAGCATCATTTAAAGCTTAACAATGTGTGAAACAACAAAGACACACAGCATTGCTTTCTGGCCAAGGTATTTTTCAGGAAATCACAGCCCACAGACCATGGAAAAAGAAAATCATCCACATCTCTACATCTCCCTGGGGACTAACAGTGCAGACAGACCAGGAGCTACACAAGGAATTGAATGTTCTGACGAAAAATAACAGGAACAGCATCTGCCAGGTCTGTGTATGATAAATAATGAGATCCCCTGTAATTAAACTCCCATAGGCACACATCCTAACCGGCCTTGGAGAGGCAGGGACTGCAATGAAACATGTGTCCACCTCCCACCTATTTCAGGGTCGCCTGTGTCCACAGCATATGACTAGCAACACTTTGGGTGGACATTGGGGTCTTTACTGATCACTTGAATCTTGTCTAGTCATGGAATTCCAGAATGGTTTGGGTTGAAAGGTCATCTCATTCCAGCCCCCTGCCATGGGCTGACTCTCTATTCAATGAGTTTTATTCCCTTCAGGCTTCACTGGGAGAGATGTTACAGGAAATATCAATCCCATACCCAGGCTAGCTGGGAACTGTACAACAAACACATCCACAGCCTCAACAACCTCATGTCTTCTTTCTACTTTATTGACATAATGAACATTAGTCACGTTATCAAATATGGGGTAGCTCTATCACCTAACATGGTAACAGGTAATTTTGGCTGCTCTGCTCAAAGAAATCTTCTTGGGCTTGGAGTGTGATCCCACTGAACCCGTCAAAACAGACAGCACGATGATTACTATTTGCTCTTACTTATATTTATTCAAAGAAAGAAGAAACATCACCAAAAACCCCCAACATTTTATGCAGCAAAACACTCAGTAAGAGATTCAGCACTGCAAAGATAACATTTGGGCAGAAAAAAACCCCAGGAAAAAAGTAACATCAGTTGATCAAAGGGGAAAGAGATTGTTTATCCCCTTCTTTTCAATCCAAGCTCAGTACACCAGGTTGCAACCTCTGCAATGCGCTTCCCATTAGTGGCAGCCAGTCTATAACAACTTGACACAATGACCCCACTTCTAGTCCCAGGAGGATTATTAACAATGGGAGCACATCACCTCCATGGAGCACAATGCAAGCTCTCACTACAGTACTGGAGATCCACACCAGTCCAACTTAAAGGCAACCAGGTTCTGGAGAGACCATTGCTCAGGAGGGCAGCCTGCTTCATCCTCGGTGTGTGGTTGACAAACGTGGGAGCCCAAAGTACTGCACTTACTTGGTTTTCTCTGCTCCTCAAGGCTTTTTTCTGGACACAAAGCATTGGTCTTCTTCCAGCCCTGCTCCAAAAGGAGAAAATATAAGAATAAAATACAAAAAAAAACCCCAAAACCCCAAAACAAAACAAAAAACCAAAAATAAAATACAAAAATAAAAATAAAATGCAAAATTAAAAATTAAATAGGCAGTACTCACTCTTCCAGGGAGTTCCCATGGGGCTGGCAATAGCAACTGGTCTGAGGCGGGAGGAATTTTTCTTTCCTCCCAGACTGTGCAGCACATCAGGGATGTGTTCAGACTAAACTGGCTCTTGCATTTCTTAGGGGAATACAGTAAAGGTGTTGGAAGATAATAAAATCAATGCTGCTGGTGCTCCCCTGTTCACCCAGCCCAGCCCTCAGCCATGGCACAAACATTTTAGATGTTGATTATTAACTTTTGGATGATGATTAGTGATGTTCTTTCACTAATCCTCCTAATGATATCTTTTACATTCAGTTTTGTTCTCCATCTCCCCTCAGGAAGGATCTCCCCACACTGTTCTGCTGCAAACAAAAGGAGACTCCAACAGCAAGGCAGATACCCCCTAACTGGAAGATTTTCTTTGGAAGTGACTAGCTCCAAGGATGGAATAAAGGTGTTGGAGAAAAATTGAAATCACTGCAGGGCTCTCAGACACTTCCCAAGACCATCCATACACCCACCCCCAGCCAGCTGAAACCATCATTTTGCTTCAAGGGTCTCTCAGCCGAGCCCCCTGCCCAGCAAACATCCCATCTCCCAGGAACACCAAACCCCTGGCTCATGTGCCTAACTCAGCTTCTGATGATAAACAAGAAGGAGAGCAGCTACCTTCCATCCACTGGCCACCCCTCCTTCCCTGGGCAGATTTATCCACATTAAATCATACACAGTCCCACCCCTCAGATATTTCCTCCACTGCCTAAACCATTTTGAAGCCAACATTGCCTTAGCCTGCAGCAAGGTGTTCAAGAGATCCATGGAGGAGATGTGTTAAAGCACTTTATTGGTGATCACAGATAGTCTGTACATTCAGCTTAGTACAAAACCCTCTCCATTAACACCAGAGGGAATGACAGCCACCAGGAGCTTTGAATTCTGGCTTGGCTCCCTTCTGAGGAAGAAGAAGGGAAATGTTAGGAAAAATAGTCTGATTTGCCACTCCAGTTGGACTCCAACAGCAAACTAGTCCTGCAGTCTGCAGCCTGAGCTGCAGCTCAGAGAATTAAGAACTCGTGGCTACCAAAGGGATGCACAAGGAAAGATTTGGCATCTCCTGTCATGCTCTGCCTCAGGGTCCTGCCTCCTACTTCTGATGCTCCATTGTCAAGTGCTGCTGTAATTTATCAAGACTAATTAAAAATTTCATCTCAAGAGCTCTAAACCATCAGGGAAGAAATTTCCATGCCCACCACTGCCTCATTTGTCATCCAAGCTGCTCTCTGGCAGCAAGGCACCACCGGAGCTCTTCTTCCCTCTGTGGAGGCACAAGCCACAGTCCAACTCCACGTCAATGTCCCCAAATTTCAGCTGGCAGGACTCATTGCAGCTGCAGGAGAGACAGTGACAATGGTCAAGGACTTGTGAGTAGTGAGACCCACTGGCTCACCCTACCCTGCTTGGAAAGGCTGCTCTGTGGTAGCACAGAGCCCACCCTTTCCAGCCAAGCCATGCTTGTATACATATAGACACCCACACTCCTTATCCCATGACACACTGGTGCATGGATTTCCCAGCCCACTGTTGGATCTGGGTACTGCTCTTGGCCACCCAGCCCATGCACTGTGCCAGAACCCCTCATACCAGCGGGATGCAGCAGCGTTGGCGGCCACAATGGCGAGAGCACCCAAGTAGTGCCAGCAGAAACACATGGTGAGGAACAAGAGGTTGCTGGAGTCTCTCTGGTCCCAGCCTGGTCCTCCCCACGGAGGGGACAACACAAACCCAATCTGGTCACAGATGAAAGAGAAGTCAGACTTCAGCACATCCCTCCTGTTTTCCTCCTGATTTTAGCCTACCTGCTGCAGCTGACTGTAACCCCAAGTAACACCTGAGACACTGCCCTTAGCTTCCCCAACCACTGACACAAGGGTGTCAGGAGGGGATGGATTCTCTGCAGATAATCCTTAGGGCTTGCAGTGCAAGCCCAGCATCCAGGAAAAGGGTGCCATCCAAAAAGTGACATTGCCAGTCTGTGCATTTCCCCCTGGACCAAAAGATGGGAGATTGCATGAGAGATTTCCAGATGTTTCCAGTTACTTGGAACAAACAGAGGAAGAAAATGGACCTAATAAAATTAATAAAAATCCATGATTGTGGTTTCCTTCCCCTGTGGGCTCCAATTTCCATTTTCCATTCATTTCCAGGTCTGTCCATGCTGCTACATTACACATGCACTTCACGATGGCAGCTCTGGCACTGAGCCTCATTTCCTCTTCTTATTTACAAAGCTATTTGAACAGCCTAGAAGTTTAACCCCAACAGATGTGCCTACAGGGGCAACCCCACTCCAAGCACCTTCCTGGGTGCAAAGATCTGAGGAGAATGCTGGATAGACACTGACCTGCCAAAGCCAAGAGCCCTGGAGAAGGAAGGAGCTGGTCCTGAATGTCTCCAGGATGATATGGTCTCGGTGGAACACCTCTAGGAGAGCACAGAGGGCTCCAGCAAAGATAGCCATGGCCAGCAGGGAGTGGAGGTGCTGGTCCAGCACAGCATCACTGTAGTCACGGAAACAGAAGAGCAAACCTGCCAAAATCCACCCTGTCTTAGCAAAGGACACTCTGGGGTTTTTCTCTTAAAAATCATCTGAAAACTCACTCTTAGGCTTCAGGCCTTGCCGTGATCTACCTTGGGGAAAAGAACCAGAGAGCTACCAGCTGCTGTCACCACCTTCCCTCTGCTATTACCATGCAGCCCCAGCACTGTCTCAGTTCTGCTCCTGAGGAACCCCTGTATCTGTGGAAGTCTCTGAGCCCCTTTACCTGGGGAGATCCCTATGTCCCAGCCAGGGCTGTGGGAGAAGCACAGGGATGGGCACCTTGAGCTCAAAAGATGGTGGGGAGCTTTGTATCTGTCCCTCTGCATCCAAACAAGGTGGGGGGATGACACCTTTTTGTAACTTCAGAGTGAGAGAGCTGCTGGCCACCAGGAGCAGCACAGATCCCTCAAGCATCCCCTGTGGCATCCAGCTATGATTGGATCCACATTTAGGAGGAGCAGGGAGGGGGGGGGTGACTGTCACAAAGCCAGTGTCATCGTCCATCCACACCCCCTCCAGGTCTGCCTTTTTGGCCCCAGACTGACCAGGAGCTGTCAGACCCATGAGCACTGCAGCAATTCCTTATTCTGTGTCTTCCCCTAGCACCAGGTACAATTCACCTTCCACAAGTAGAGCCAGGGACAGCGAGAGCCGGTCCAAGCCAGGGGGTAGCTTGAGTGGGGAGTGAGAGACCATGTCTGTGATGCCGGAGAGGAGGAAGAAGAGGTAGATGGTGGAGTAGTGCCAGTGGGTGAGGTCAGTCCAGCTGTGCGTCTTGGGGCTGTACAGCTGCAGGTGGGGACCAGTGGGGACAAACTGCTCCACCAGTATCCCTGGACAAAGACAGAAAAGGTCACTTTTCCTTATACATGGAGAAATTACAAGCCTGAGGGAATGTTTCTTTGCAGGTGTGGAGCTGTAAAATTCCTTTGCTGGTGTTTGCCCAGGAGAATGACAGCAAGCTCCTTGTCCCAGGGTGTGCCACAAGCATGTCCCTAAGTCCCACTAAAACAGGCCCAGTGTTGTGGAAGAGTAGATGCTGTGCTAGTAGATATTGGGGCACAGACTCATCATCACCCTCTCTTACCTACTAGAGCAAAGAAAGCTTTGACCGCGCCTTCGAAGACCTCCGTGTGCCCACGGCCCGGCTGGCCCTCAGCACCCCCTTTCCTCCTGAGGTACTTCAGGGGGTACCTCACCGACCACCACAGGCCAAAGGCGAAGAAGAAAGTGCCCCGGAGGGCACTGCCCAAAAAAGTTGTTGGCATCGGGCTCATTCTCTGGACCTGCAAGGACAAACAGTGCCTGAGGACCAACCAAAAGCATCCCCAAGGGAGTTGTTGGGCTGCTCAGCATCCCCAGGGATCCACATCACGACAGAGTAGGTGCACATGGCTCAGGTGCAAACAGGGAATACCAGAAATGGGATATCAGCACAGGGAAACTGCCACTGTGCACCTCTGTGTATATGTGTGTATGTATGTATTTATGTGGCTGCATATAAAATCAACAGAACTTCATGCCAGAAAACAATACAGTAGTGCCCAAGAAAGCGTAACAGCAATTAGAAGAGGAAGCACAACAAAGTTTTTACCAATAAAAAACAACATGACAATTATTTCCTTAGACCATAAACTTGCTCCAAACTAGGCAATTACCAGGGTGTGAATCCAGTACTGGATTAGGAGCTCCAGCCAGTGAAGGCTTTTCCGGGCTGTGCAGGAGGTAGCAACCCAGGAACCATTAACATTTGGAAAAAGAGCCTTATGCGTATTCCACACAACCTTTGTGTGGCACACAAGTGGTGATTTGACATAAGAGATTTCCTCTCCATAGGAATAAGCATAAAGAAAGCCTTGACTAAGTCAGACCAATGCCAGAGTACCAACCAAGTAGGATGGAGAGGAGCAAAGGTACAGCAAATTTATATCCTGCAAAGTATTTCAGCCATAACAAGATTCCTTAGAAAAATCCCAGTGTAGCGAGTATAGAAAGGAGTAAATAATGATCAAAGTGTTTCTAGCATTGTTTTACCTGGGGATGGTCTTGTTTCCTCCAGAAAGACCTCTCGAGCTCCTTGCTCTCTGTAAGCTTCTACCACCTAAGGAGGACTCACTTTTCTCCTCCTCATGGGCTTTCCGGTCCTTTTCTGTAGCTCGGATGTGCACAGAGGAAGGCATTACTCATTCCAATGCTTCCACACCGACCTGCCCTTGCATCACAGATCACATCCTCACTGTGTTTATAAATACCAAAGCAAATCACAAAGGCTGGATGAACAACTCCAGCACGTTCTCCGAGTCCTCCCACACTAGAAAGTAATTAGGCACTGCAAAACAAGGGTAGGATGTGGCATGGCAAGTGCCTGAGGTGAGGGAGAGCTCTGCAAGATGTTCCAGGTCAGGTTATGGCTGCAAAGCTGGCATGGGTCAGACTGGCTCAGCTCTGTGTGGCAAACGCAGGATTGGAATGTAGAAACCATCATCATCCTTTGCATCTCTGGGACACAGGCAATCTGGGAAAGGCTCAAATCTATGCTAAGGTTTCCTTTCAGGGTGGAAATTACTAAACAGCCTTTCAGGTAGGTGAGAAATGACCCATCCAGGAGCTGGAAATCACAGATGGCTCTCTGCTCTATTTGGGGTGCTTGCATTAGGGTGAGGTGGTTGATGCCCCAGGAGAACCCACATCTTTCTTGATTATACCCTGGGCACTCCAGCCAGGACACTTCTCATCCTTGCACAGACATCTACATCTGAAGTGTCTAACAACAAAGCACATTTAAGCATAGCACAACTGCATGATGCATAACCAAATTTTACCATTGTCCTACTTGTGACTGCAAGGGCAACAGCCTGAAATTGGAGCACACCTTGATTGAGAGACATGTGAGGAACATTAATTTGGCATGATGAAGTGGAGGAGAGAAGGAGAGCAGAGACATCCCAGAGTCCAGAAATGACAAACGTGTCCCACCTGCAGCCCCAGAGGCTGCTCCAAGCCACGCCAGCATCCAGGATTAACCTGGGCATCTGTCATCCCACATCCACCTGCCATGTCCCCCTTGGTCTGAGTTACCAGCAGACCCAACTTGCTGTTTCAGAGATGTCCCTGGAATCTCCTACCCTGACCATCCCTCTCCACAGCAGAGCAGCCTCACTCTTCCTTGCAGCACCAGGGACCCCCTTGTTTCACAACCCCTCCGCAGCCCAATCCAGCAAGGCTTTGGGGAGTTGTCACGAGTCTCCTTTGCTTCCCAGCAACTGGAAATAGCCCTTCAACAGCCACCACAGATCCCAGAGATCCTCTCTTTACAACTCCCTGCCATGGGCAGGGACATGTCCTACTAGACCAGGTTGTTCCAAGCCCCTTCCAACCTGGCCTTGAACACTTCTAACACTTCTAAGAATCCAGTCATGTCTTGGGGGCATCCCTCTTGTAGCAGAGATGGCCCAAATCACCATAGACAAGCAGAAGTTTGCATGTAGCTCACTCACTCACCAAAAAAAAAAAAAAAAAAAAAAAAAAAAAAAAAAAAAAAAAAATCCCACCTCCTTTTATAAAACAGCCACTATTCTATAGCAAAACCAGACGTTTCCAAGCAACAGTCCACTTGCACAGCTCACATATTTGAAGCATAGAAAAACAACCCCCACATTCACAGAGCCCCTCCACCAGCCCAACAAGCCCAACCCCTGACACCCCTGACCCAGTGGCTTTCCCCACTCCAGCTTTGGAGCCCACACTCACATAAAAGCTCATTTAGCTCCAAGGAAGTGGCAGCCAGCAAAGAGCAGAGACACCAGGTTATTTATTCCTCCTGGAAACTGCTCTGTCTGTCAGAGCACTTGAAATATGACTGCAGATAGAAGTTATTACCTGAGCTGCCCTTCTCCCTCCACAGCTTCCAGGCTGTGATGCTCCTGCTCAATTGCCCCTGGGAACTGCCTGCTGTCCTTCCAGAGCCATGCCTGACTGCTCACAGCCTCCTCAGGCTTGGCTTGGGAAGGACTGCATTCCTGCCCAGCTTCCAGGCTCTCCCCTGGAGCCATTGCAGCTCCAGATCCATCACCATCCATGATTTTGACCCCACCTGCTCTAGTGGAGGGGATTGCTGCTGTCCCTCTGGATGCGCCAGCATTCCCTACAAGCACCCATCAGCATTTCAGTACAGCCAGCTTGTGTGCAGAGGACAAGCTCAGCACCTGGCCACAAACATTTGGGAGGGTCTTCTCTTTGCGACTCCTCCTCCATCCTTGGACATTTCCAGGGATCCAGGGGCAGCCACAGCTTCCCTGGGCAGCCTGTGCCAGGGCCTCACCTTCCTCACAAGGAAGAATTCCTTCCCAATATCCCATCCATCCCTGCCCTCTGGCAGTGGGAAGCCATTCCCCCTGTCCTGACAATCCAGGAGTCCCTCTCCAGCTTCTTGGGGCTCCTCTAGGCACTGGAAGGGTCTCTAAGGGCTCCCCAGAGCTGTCTCCTCTTCAGGCTGAACAAACTTCCATCCTCTGCTATCATGCAGCTCCAAAACACAATAATCCCCCCCAAAAATGGCTAAAGCCAGAGATTTCCGGCACCATCAGCACCACTTCCACCAGCCTCACCCCCAGCTGTCATCACAATGAACCCTTGTCTCTCATGGATGTTCTCCCCATGTTCCTTCTTTTCAAGTTCCAGCAGCCATGGCACAGCTGCTCACCAATGTACAGATGGGAGAGTTTACCTGTGACTCCTGCCTGTCCTTCTCCCTCTCCAGATGTGTCAGCAAGGAGGTTATTACTCAGAAGAGGCAGATAAAGGGAGAAGCCACCACGGGGAGGTGCCCCTCAGACAGGATGTTTGGAGCTGAACATTCCGTGGGCCAGTTCAAAGCACCCTGAGTCAACCACCTTTCACAACCTGGGCCACCTCCTGTCTGCTATTAAAAAAACAGCCAACAACTCTCCTGGAGTTTGCCACAAAAATCAGAATAAGCAGCCAATTCCTGTTCCCATGGCAACCATGTGTATTCAGTTGTTAGGATGGGGCTGGGGATGCCTGGGGAAAGAGCCAAGCAGAGAGAAGGCAGCAGTAAGGTCTGACAGGGCTCTGCTGGAAGTCTGTGAACTGGGCTGCCAGGGACATGATAACCTTTTAGGGAGTCCAATCTTATAAAAGTTGCCTGAGGACAGGAGATTTTGGGCCAGAAGCTCACAAACCAGAGCAGAGCCTTTGTGAGCTTCACCTCCCAGCCCACAGCAGCTGAGAAATGTGGGCCATGGCCCTCTCTCCCCCAAAAGATGGGCAGACAGGACACAGCAGCCTGTTTCCACTCCTTTTCCTCTCTAATACAACAACGCTGCCCTTCACCACGCAACGACAGGCACAAGCCACCTTGAAGCTGCTGCCCATCCCACTGATGATTGCAGAGATGAGCAGTGCAAGTGCTTCAGGCAAATAAATACCTCAGGCCACATGTCCTTCCAAAACATTGAGGTGATGGTGCAGAAACATTCAGCATCACCCCAGAGCCCTGCTCAAGCCCCCGACCCTGGCACAGCCACATTCCCAAACCAGCAGTTCTCCTAGGAAGTTGTATATTTCTCTCACTTGTGTTGCCAAACCCACCCCAAGCAAGCTTGCAGAACCAGCCTTGACCAGAGCCAGCGACCCACAGAAACCCAAGGCTGGAGCAGTACAGAAGCAAAGCAGCCTCCCCAGGGTGATGGGCTGTGGTCCAGCACAGCCAGAAAAACCACCAAGCCATAGCCAGGAGCCTTTTATTCCCATTATCTTCATATCAAGAGGGAGGAAGGGAGGAAGGGAGGAAGGGAGGAAGGGAGGAAGGGAGGAAGGGAGGAAGGGAGGAAGGAAGGAAGGAAGGAAGGAAGGAAGGAAGGAAGGAAGGAAGGAAGGAAGGAAGGAAGGAAGGAAGGAAGGAAGGAAGGAAGGAAGGAAGGAAGGAAGGAAGGAAGGAAGGAAAACAAGAGGTTGTGCTGTACACCCATCACTGCTCACTTCCAGCAGTGCCTGAGAAGCAGGATGGGTGGAACAGGGATGAGTACATCTGCAAAAGGGTCCTGGGAAGCTCACAGTAGCAAAGGGGCTTCCACAAATGGCAGTTTCACCCAAGCCTAAGCTTAGGAACTTGTTACAATATTAAATCCAAGCATAGGGAGAAACACAGCACTCATGGGAGTTCTTCCTTACAGACCTACCTCTGAAAATAATGCAGGATGAGAACCATACCTTTTTGCAGCAGCACCATCTGCTGAAGAGGACCTCTTTCAGCTCAGTTTTCCTTTCTGCAACACCTACCTTTACAAACCACTACCACAAAGAGCAAGAACCTGCTTCCCAAGCAGTAGGAGTCAAGACCTTGGAGAAAGTGGGGAAAGATGAAGTAGGAGTCCAGCAGCTGGAGAGTGATGGGAAGAACAAGACCCAGCTGGAAAGTATCTACACAGAGGATCAACGTGCCTTTTTCCATAAAGGGCCAGTAAAGAGTAAAGACCAAAGAGAAAGCCTCTTTGAAAAGGGCAAGTTAAGTTGCAGACAGTGAAGGAAGTTTTCAGTGCCTTAAACAGTTGTGGAAAGGAGGTTTCTTGTAAACCATCCCCATGAGAAAAACGAGGATTTAACTCTGACGGGTAGTTGGGAGAAAAGATAACAAATCCCCCAAAATCCCCTAGCAGGTCACTGAAACTCCATGCATGCTAAAATCACTGTGGGCACAAATGGATGTGATTCCATTTCAATTCTTTAGGAATATACCCCTTCTTACTCCTAGGAAAAGACTGAAGTGTGTGCAACTCCCTCCAGCTCCTCAAGCTAAACCCTGAATTGAATTTGATTTTGTATTTTTGGTTTTTTCTTGTTCTTTTTCTCTCAGCTGTAACTGCAACATCTCCCTGAAGGTTCATCATCAGCCTCAGTGCTAATGAAAAAATGTGATAATGTTTGTCTCCTTCCTGGGGGTGGTGGGAGGCACAATCTAATTAAAGGTTTGCCAGCAGCTCGAGTGCTGCAGATGGATGGTTGTTTGGGAAGTGCAAGGTATTATAATTGTTATTATGACGAATGCTAACACCAGCTTTCATAAACAGGCAACAGGAGGTAAAGCAGGTGGTAAAAGCAGAGGGAGGGCTTGTTCTGCTGCTACACCTTCATTTCAGCCTCACATAAAAGTGGCTGTGTGGGTGGCAGCAAGAGATCCTATCTCTGCCCCAGGAATGAGTGGCTCGTGGATGGGCTGTTCTGGCTCCTGATGAAGGATTTGTCTTTCCAGCTGTAGGAAGAACAGCTGCCAGGACCTTTGACTGCGTTGGAGTGTTGTCTGGGCTCCTTTGTAAGAGAAGGGCAGGATCAGCAGCTTATTCCGGCCAAGGATGAGCAGGACACCCGAGTGACAAAATCAAACACCAGACTACAGTTACATTGTAAGAAAAAAACATCCCTGAGATACCACCTCGGGATCCCACTCTTTTTTAAATCAGTGTGGATATGGATCCAAGCACACTCCCAGCCCCTACACCATCTGTATGGCCAATGGGTCCAGTACAGAGAAACTTTAACTCAATTTATAGAATCATAGAACGGTTTAGGTGGAGAAAAGCTCCAAGATCATCAAGTCCAAATATTATATGCTGAAAGACATGATCCAGAACAGCTGATTGATATTAATGTTGTATTAAAAGCAAGTCTCCATCTAGAACTGTCCTAAAATATCCATCACTCATGAAATAATTGTGAGGACGGCTTAAGGTTGCACTTCTATATAATAAATCATCTCTGTACCTCTGATCCAGACACCTTCATACTTTGTTTGGGTACCTTAACTATTTACAAACTGGTTTTAGTTGAAATGAAAATCATTAATTCTCATGCAGAAATGAAATCAAACTGTATTTCCTTCCTTAATCATAGGCTGGATCTCTCCTCCTTTCCTGACCTTCATACTTTGGAAAAGAATGTGCTCCAGAGCTGGAAAACAAATTAGTGAGCGCTTTGCTGACAGTCCTGGGATGTTTGTGGGAGCAGGGAGTTAATGAGGCAAACAGAAACTATTCCAGACACTGGGGCTGTGGAGGAAAAAGGTGTTTTGTTGCCATACAGTGACAGGGGCCAAAGAAAGGAGGGGGGAAAGGAGACAACAACTTGATTAAGAGCTGTGAAGAATTAAATAAACCCTATCCCAATTCCAAAAGCAAAGAGTGCTTTTAAAACGAAATTCAGCCTTCATTTGTGCCCTGTGCTTTCATTGTGCTCTGGAATGGAAAAAACCTGTGGCTTTCGAGGGTGGGTAGGAGGAACATGACTGCATCCAGCTTGGATCCATTCCTAGTCGAACAGCAGCTGCTGCCCTCCCCTGGCTGTTTAATGGGAATAGCAATGCTTGGGCTGTTTCCTAAAAGAAAATGATTCACAAAAAACCAGAAATAATTCAGAGCATCACAGAAGGCCTTTCTGCTCTTCAGTGAACCCGTGCCTGTCCTGCAGCACTCCCATTAACTTGGTTTGTCCCCTTCCTCATGGGGGTGAGGGGGTCTCTGCCATTCGCAGGTGGCAACTGCAGAATGGTTTGTGTCTCCTCATAGCAGCCAGAGGAATTTGTGATGTTTGGAAAAAATATTCTGCCTTGGCAGAAAAAAAGATATCTACAAAATGCTCCTCATGTTCAGTGGTTACGACTCATGAGTTTATGAGATGTATTTATTTATGAAGATGTAGCTCTGCTTCTTCAGTCTCATCATGCCCAGTCGATTTGCACCTCCCAGTATCCAGGCCTGCAAAACAAACCAGCTTAGAAGTGGATATACAGGAACGTTACCATTCAAGGAAAGCTACTCTTTTTGGCATAGTTAATAAGCAATACAATCCAGGCTGCAGTCTCTATAGTCTGTGATAGTCTCTTTGCACAAGGGGAAAAGGGTTAAAGGACAAACTTTGCCTTCCCTTGGACCTGTGTAGTCATGAACATGAGCACAAAAATCTCTTGCAAAACCCCCACTACACAGAAGGGAGAAGATCTCAGTGCAGACCATCCTTCCAGCCATGGGGTTTGAGACATAAAAATGGTAATTTACCTTGTGCTGGTGGTTATTTTATTTATTTATATATATAAATTTATATATATAATTTTTTTTAAATCCCTGTACTAGCATATTTTCCTCCTGTCTAGGAGATGACATTTCCAGTCACTTTTTGCAAGAAATTAGCTAGTAAAGGCAGCCTAAAACAGACCATGTGCTTGTATCATCTTGCTTTCCAAGTTGAGGGGGTTTATTTTCAGTGGAAAACTGGGACATTTCATGAATCCCTGCTGCATGGCCATGTATCTTACAGTCCTTTAGGCTTTGCAGGTCTGAGAGATGGATTTTTCTAAGCTATTATTATACACTGTATAATTTATCAGTCTTAAATTTAAGGATATCAGCTCAGTGAGGATTTTTATTTCACATTTATTTACTCTCTTAGCCTTTAAGTGAACAAGAAAATTATTAACAAAATCCCTCTTTAGTTCAAAGCTTCAGTAATAACATTCGTAGTGTGTGCAATCAAGCCCTGGTGTTGCAAAAATTGCCATAATCTCACATTCAGCACTCTCTTACTCATCCTCCTTGGGGTGATGCCTTGCTCCAGAGATGCATGACCTCAGCCTGGAGATTCCCCTGACTTCAATCACAGCAGGTCAAAGCCTTCAGGCTCTTGGAAAAGTTAGCTGGCCAAAAGATGCCTTCCATCCCTATGGGAGCATACAGGGGAGCCCACAGGATGAAGTAATCTTGCCATGCTGAATTTCTATGCTTTGTTTTGCTGCTAAAAATCACTTCAAGCTCTGCCCATGTCTGAGCCAGAGATATTTGGGTATGGATGGAGGGCAGCCACCCCTGTGTGCTCAGCTTTCCTCCCAGAAGCTCCATGGGGGTACCTCTCATCCAAAACAAAAATATTTAATTTGATTTGTTTCTTCTGAAAAAGGGACTGTTCATGTATTTGGAGCAGGAGTTTTGCACCCTCTTCACTCTTCATCGGAGCCATTCAAGAAGGCAGCCTGGGAGCTGCTGTCACACTTGTGCTGCCGGACCCCCAGGCTGATGTAGGGCTCTCCACTGCCTCTCCGGAGCCTCTGGAGACAGCTGCAGCACAGGAGCAATAAATCATTATTAGAAAAAACTCCAACCTAATGCCACTCACCAGAACCTAAATTGCTATTGATGGGGGATTGAGTGGTTTTTGTTCTGAATAAAGTCTATTTGATGGCATGGACTGAAGTATCCATTCTGTAGCTTACACAGCATCCCTCAGAGCATCCCTTAAAGTGGGATAATCTTCTCATCCCCTTGGAAAAGCCAAACTGGGGGCTGGTAATGTCTTACTTTTTGTACCTCTAAGAATTCAGTGACCTTCAACCACTTTGAAGTCCTTGCAAGGCAGAGGATGAAGTGTCAGGGGGTCCTGGTAATGCTTTGATGCCTCTGTCAAACTAAAGTTTAACCTCAGCACTCATTGCAGAGGAAAATAAGCAGTGTGACTTTCAGGAGCACCTCTAGGGACTCAGTTGTTTGACTTCCCATTTACTGCCCATGCCTCTTGCTGACACTATTTTGCATTCTGTACATTCAACAAATAGCGTGCCCTAAAACCTGCAGTAGTCTGGGACTGCTTGTTCAGCTGTGATTTTGTACTGCAGGAAGGGCTGGGTTACATCTGTCTCACTACAGACATGCCGCCCTGCCTGCCTACCCCAGACCTGTCCCAGCCCCTGTCCCAGCCCCTGTCCCAGCCCCTGTCCCAGCTGTACCAGTAAGTGAGGCTGTAGTTCACAGCCAGGACGGCCACAGCAGCTGCCCAGTGCCAGAAGAAGCACATCGTGAGGAACATGATGTTGCTGTGGTCATTCTCATCCCACACAGGACCTCCCCATGGCTGGAACAGCACAACACCGATCTGGGTGGAACAAGAAGTTGGTGGAACAACTACATTGGGAAAAAAATTATAGAATCCCAGAATGCCAGAATTGTTTGGGTTGGAAGGGACCTGAAATAACCTGTGCCAGAGCCTCATCACCCTCCTAGAGTTACCTTTATTCATGTGGTGACCGAGGAACTTGAGCCCTGACCAGGATAGACATTTTTGCTGAGAGTGAAGTTCATCCTTGTAATGAGAGGCCACACAAAGTAAGTCTGTGCCCAAGATATCTCTTTTTCTGTTCAATATCCAGAACAATTGTCCCTCAACATTCCAAACTCCAAACCATCCTTTAAAAACTCCAGATTTTGTACTTTACAAGCTCAGCCCAGTTTCTTACCTCTGAACAAAGGCTGATTTGAGCAAGCACAGCCTTGAAAAAGAGAAGGGAAAGTGGTTTGGTTTTGGGGTGGTTATTTTGGTTGGTTTTTTGTTTGTTGATTTTTGGTTGGTTGGTTGGTTGGTTTGGTTTTGTTTCTTTTTTTATTTGTTTGGGGGTTTTTTTGATAGCTTAGTTTTGAGAGCAATTATCTCCAACTGATTTCTTTGCTTTTCCAACTCCTACCAAAGTAAGCAGCTGGCTGTATTTTAACTCTGTTTTATTGCTGGCGGGGTTTGTATCTTTTCACTAAACCAGAGGGAGGGCTGTAGGGAGCATTAGACACATTAAGCAATTAGTACTTGGTTGTTAGGTACTGTAAAATGTTGCTCACTTGCTTTTTCTCTTCCCCCTGGAGAAGCAGTAAGCCAAAACAAACAGCTCTTGCAGCAGGAGCAGCCATCAGAGATGACCTGTGATAAGTAAATTTTCATTCTGGGTTATGAGCTATTTATGAAGTGAGCCTGGCAAAATAATCCTTGGGAGATGTGTGATTGATATGTGATGTATAACTTGTTCCCCTCTTTTCTCTTTGCTTCATTGCTCTGGGAAGGCAGAACGGACCTGCCAGAACCACGTTCCCTGGACAATGGTGATGTGGGCTCGGAACATCTCCAGGACAATGTTGTCACGCAGGAAAACCTCCAGCAGGATGCTTCCAGCCCCAGCGAAGATGGTGATGAGCAGCAGGGAGTGGATGTGCTGATCCAACATGGGGCGATGAAGGACGTGGTAATAGAAGAGACAACCTGCCAAAACACGAACCCTGCTTGAAGCAGCATTAACAACAACAGCCATGGCCACTGAGCTGAGTAAATCACCTGCCTGGGTGGCAAATTGAGACAGGCCATCATGGAAAAAGGGGACTCCACATAGCACCGTCCCCTAGGCCTCCTGGCATCCCAGCATCCTGGGGGCAACCAGGGGCAGGAGGATCTGAACAATACAATGACCAAGGACAGGGTAGTTTTCTTCCCACAGATGTCACCTCTTCAGATGAGGCTGCTGCTCTGTCTTTCCTTCTTATTGCTAAATTTCATCATTTTTTGGGAGCTGTAAATGATAGATTTCCTGGTCATACATGCCAAACTGTGCATGTGGAGCTGCCCCTGCTGCTGCTGCCTCAAAAACTGCTGTGATCAGGAAAGGAAAATTAACAGGAGCTGTGCCTTCATTAAGGAGGATTCTATATAAACAAGACCTTCTTTTCCCATAGGAGAGCGTTGGAACTAGATGATCCTTAAGCTTCCTTCCAAACCAAGTCTTTATATGATTCTATGATCCAAAAGGGGTCTGGAATCACAGCTGACAACTTGCAAGGCAGCCTGAGGACAGAATGATATTTGTGATGCGCTGAAGCTGAAATAAATCAGTTCAAATTGCCACGTGCCATGTAAGGAGATGAGGCTAATGATGCCTGCAGTGCAATTAATGGCTCTCAGGGGAACATGGGGCAGGGGAACAGCCTGTGGATGTCAGAGGAATGCAGAGTTCACCAGTCATTTATCATAACAAGGAACCTCATTCTGCTGCTTTGCACTGCAGTAGCTTCAGAAATACCAAACCAGAACCTATCCATGACTGTATTTCTCATCTCATTCCATCCCAGCCTGCCATAATATATCCCCTACAATGTGTCCTATCTCCAGAGGCATCTGGAACCATATCTCAGTCAGGCAAATTTTAGCTCTTCTCTGACTTGGTGCCCAATATCCTTCCCCTAATTAAGCACCACCTTCTACAAACCTTCAACGAACACAGCCATGGCCAACATAAGGCGATCCAGACCCTGCGGCACCACCTGGGAGATGAAGGTGAAGACATCTACCACCCCGGAGAGGCCGTAGAAGAGGTACATGGTGGTGTGCTGCCAGTTCATCAGCTTCACCCAGTCGTGCTTCTCCCCGCTGTACAGGTACAAGTGGGGACCATCGGGGACAAACTGCTCCGCCAGCATCCCTGCAGGACACCAAGAGCATGCAGTTGCTGGGGGTTCATTTGCAATGGTCAAGACTGTTCCTTGCTGCTGGGGGTTCTGAAGCAGGAACTGGTGAGTTTGCATTAGGGAGAAAAGACTGGATGGAAAAATCAGGCCTGTGTTTAAGGGCAGCTCAGCTTTGGGAAGCAGTATGAGAATTGCTTTTCCACATCAAACTATACCAGAGATCACGTCAAGATGGATGGCAAGGATGCATCCAGGCTGCCCAGGAGAGTGCTGGAATCACCATACTTGAAAGTATTCAAAAATATGTGAAGAGGGTGCTCAGGTTCATGGTTTAATAGTGGATGTGGCAGTGGTTAGTGGCTGGACTTAATGATCTAAGAAGTCTTTTCCAGCCTTAAAAACTCTCTGATCCTTCCAGATCTGGACCAGTTTCTATGGAGTCAGGGCTCCTGTACAGTCATCGGTGCAGGCTAGGTGAACACTGACATAGCAAGTGAAATATAACCCTTACCTGTTAGAGAAAAGAAGATTTTGATTCCCCCTTCAATGGCATCCACACGCTGGAAACAGTAAGCCCTGTGGGATTTTTTATTTACCTTCTGGCTGAGATACTGCAGTGGGTATTTCACAGACCACCAGAGTCCAAAGAGCAGGAAGAAGCTGCCTGGAAGCGCATGACCCTTAAAATTTGCCATCCTGTCAACCTCTTCTGACTACAAGGCAAAGAAAAACAATGTAATTATTCAATTTACACAAGTTATTTGGCGTAACACTGGGAAAAAATAGGATTTCCCTTTCAGGGAGGACTGGAGTAGGCTTGACTAACCACATGGGAATAGGAAGGAGCACAGGGAACCCCTGGGACCTCTCTGAGGTCCTTTCCCCAAGATTAGGAAAGGTCAAAAAAAGCCACAGTTGTTTCAAAAAAGCCCCAAATGTTCTGCAATATCTGACACATCCCAGCCTGAACCTTTAATTCCAAGGATCTCTCTCAGCAGTAGGTCCTGCTTTTCTTGCTCTTCTGAAAGTATTAACGTAAGGATCTGCTGCTGACCAGGGCTTTTCAGGACCAGGTAGGAGAGATAATACATAGGGAAAACAGGAATGTCTAGGAGTAAACAGCAGAGTTTTTCTTTAACTTCATGAACAGCCACAGAAGTGGTGTGCTAAGTCCAAAATTTTTTAAATCTCTGGAATTGTTTCAGGCCATGGAAGAGATGAAAAAATCCTGTATCTATTCCACAAACCAAAGCACTTTGTTAAAAATATACCTTCAAAAATACCCCAAAAGCTGCTGGAAACAAAACATTGTGGGTTTGGGCAAACAAATCAAGTTGCTCCCTGCATCCTGACCTTCTCACACTCCTTCTTCCCTCTCCTGAGCGTCCCTAAACCAGGACTTGCACCAAGCTGCTGGAGCCTCTGTGCCAGAGTACGCACACACATGGTTTGCAGGATGTTGGGGGACCCATTTCCTGGGAGAATTACAGCAATTAAACCCAGCCAGCTCCTGTTTGCGCTTTGCTCAATTAGGTTGAGAAATGATCAGCTCTTTCATGTGGGCTCACCCACATGTTTGAGGGCTGCCTTGGTGTGAGGTAGTGTCAGACTGGGCAATTAGGAATGTTTTAATTGATAACAAGGCTCTGCTGCTGGTGCCCAGGACTTCCTTCTCTGTTTAGTAGCTTCTCTGTAACAATCCACACTTAACCGTGGGCAGAAACTGTCTCCCTTGTGGAGTGGATGCTCTTCCTCCACATAGCAGATGTTGCATGGTTTGGAGCTAGATCTGACCTCCCCATCCCAGACATCCTGGTTATCCTGAAACTGCCTTCCCCAGCAGCATTTTGGGCTTCAGCCCCCACTTGCTGAAAATATAAACCAAAAATATTCTTATTCTGCTGTTGCACAAGGGATAATTTGTGTGTGGGGTAAAACATGAGTTGTTGCAGTCAGCCTTGGAGAAAGGGAGTTGTTTCTTTGGCTTTATTACTATCTGATTTCAGGTTGGTTTCTCCCAGGGACACCTTGTTTCATCTCTGGAAGTCCATGCCTGGTGCAGACACCATCTCCCAGAGGAGTCTGTCCCAATGCAGGAAAATCCACAGGGTTAAAACTAATCTCCTAAATCCCTGCAACCAATCTGCCTGATCCAAGCTGGTTTAACCAAACAGCTAATCCAACAGGTTGAGCAAAGCAAATATTAGCTCCATGTGCAAACATCACCCTGGTAGATGCAGCCACACAGGGCAGCACATGGGGCTGATGTTCCTGCAGTGCCACCAGGCTGGTTTCCATCCTGTCTTCACCAAGCACCTCTGAGCTATCCCAGTGGGTTCATGAAGATGAATTTAGGGGGGATTTAATCCAAGAATGGAAAAGCTGTGTATGGAAAGAGCATGGTATGAGCTGGCAGCTTTGCAGGTCACTATTAGCACTGCAGGGTTCTGCCTTATTTCATTACTTAAAAGGAAAGATTTATTGACAAAGGGTGCATTGGGTAATTAAACAGAAAATCAAACCAAGATGCTGTTTACCAGCAGGGCTAGCACAGTCCAGTGGGTTAATACAATCATTTCTGCAGTCCTTTGAAAGGGGCGATTGGGAAATGGGAGCATCCAACTGTTTCCCTGTGATTAAGGGAGCAGCATTCCCAAGCCATGGAGAGGGCTGAAAAAATCTGTATTTTCTGGGTAAGTAGAGAATCTCATCATATACATGAAATGGGGGTAATGGCTTTAAAATGAAAGAGGGGAAATTTAGATCAGTAACAAGGAGGGATGGTGAAATAACGGGGTAATATCTGGAAGCAGAACCAAACCCATCCCAGAATACCACAACAAGAAGGATTGCTACCATATCCTGCTGTATTAATGCTACAGTTATAACATGACCATAGCAATATATACTCAAATATTTAACTGATGTAGCTCTTGCAGTTACATATTAAAGGCTGATATAATGTGGGGCCTGATGGTTTTCCAGCTGAGATCAATGCAGTCAAACTGAGATGACCTGAAGGATACACCGATCAATCACAATTAAAAGATCAGCTAAGTGGGGTATGCACAGCCACCTTACAGTGCTTATGTGATCTGGGCTGAGCTCAGGGGGTCATGGGGACTCTTTTGTGGTTGCTGGTCTCCATTCCTGCCTTATAGCAGGGAGCACATGGCTCAGCTGGGACACGTGACCCACAAAACTATTTCTCCTGCTTCTCTTCCTCCTCTGAAAAACATGCAATGGGTAAGCACAGGGGAAAAACCAACCACAGTTATGTTGTACCCTGAGGCAAACCGCTCTTGTTTATCCCTGTATCTCCAAAGGAAGTGAGACATGCTTACAATCAGCAGGGAAAAGAACAAGCTGAAGGTCCAGTGGTTGCTGGTGTTTGTGGCCACAGCCACCATACCAGGGCATCCCTGCTGAATGTGACTTTGTCCCTTCCCTCATCAGCCAGCAATGTTTTGCAACACCCCCGTGTCCTTGCTGGCTTGTCATTCATGCTCTTTGCCCCCTGCTTATTATGGTGCCCTGCACTGTGTCTGCTTAATGATTTACTGTTTCATCTGCTCTTATCACATCCCAGAGGAGCTGGTTTTTCTTGGTTTATAGCTAATGCACCCAACCACCAGGAGAGGCATCTGGTGGATGGTAAGGAGTCTGAGAACCCAATTAGGCTTTCACCTCCTTCTTCTCACCCTACTCTGGTAGCCACAAGCTCTCTTTTTAGTCACAACTTGGGCCATTTTACTATTCCAAATATCTCATTCGGTTTCCTGAGGGATTTTTTTTGCTTTGGTTTGGTTTGGTTTTTTGGTATTTTTTTTTAGTCCATTGATAATGTCTCAGTCAAGGCATCATTTCCATTTTCCCAAGCTAGGAAATCACAGTCTAAAGTTCACCAGTGGGCAGAGCTGACAGCCATCACCCCTACAATTAACTTTGCCCTTCAACCTGTGTGAATCAGGCAGTTTGAACACACCAGAGCTGGTTTGCTCACTGTACCTGTGCTTGGCTGTCAGAGCATCTGTGGGTGACAGGGATGGTCCCCAGGGAAAGGCTGACTCAGGGAAGAGGAGAAATGTCTTGACTTGTGGAAAAACCACCCAAGCTGAGCTCAGGCTGAGGTGAGGAATGCCACTGAGATGTGTATCTGGAAATAATAAAGCTAGTTCCAGCCTTCCAGAGGGGCTCTTGTGTTGAATCTGCAGCTGCAGAAGTGCATCAAATCCAGACCTACAGACTGACAGTAGCTGAGGTGCTGTGCTCACAAAACCATCCTCAGTCAGACCCTTCCCTATCCTGCATGTCCTCTGTGTGTCTCCCTGAATACAACATACCCACTGCCCAAACCTAATGGGGATGGCAGTGAGCGAGCTATCTCTGACTCAGGAGTGAGCTATCTCTGCCTCTGAGGACAGAGAGATGGCAGGAGACACCCGAAAGGTATCAGGAGAGGCATCACTGACTGTGATAAGCTCTCCTGTACCCTGTGCTGCCTCACTCATTACAAGCACTGTCTTATTTGTCTGCAGAGGCACTTATAATCATAGCAGCACTTCCATTAGCTCCCACAGGAGCTGGATCTCTAATGCATTAATGTCCGGCTAAAACCCCTCTCTGAACCATTTCATCTCATTATCCTCAGGCTCTCTTTTCCCTCTGCCTCTGTCCTCACCAGGGAGTGTTAACAGTGACACTGAACAATCATCTTCCTCATACTGGTAAGCTCAGCTGCTGCTGGAAAAGCAGGAAAGCAACATTTCTGCCTCTAAAGGATCCTTAAGGCATTTGGACTTAGGTTAAAAAATCATCATCATCATTGGACACTATTAGGCTCAATTGCCAGGAAGTATCTGAAGGACCATCAGGTACTGCAGTGGCTTATGCAGTGGCTGCAGACAGAGAACACAAACTGAGATAATCCATCTTCCTGAAATGAGAAAGTTCAACATGAAAGTTCAAACAGGGATGAAAGCTTTAAATTCAGGATGTTAGACTAGAGGTCTATTTAATAGACATAATGGATCCACCTGGAAAGAGACGCTGAGGGAGGGAGATACAAAAACTGATGATGGAGAGGTTATACAGCTCTCTGCTTCCTCTTCCTTATGCTGCCTCCATTTGTCTCCTCTTTCATAAGCCCCTGGTTTGGATTCTCCACCCCTATCCTTGCTCTGAGCCCCATCATCAGGGAAGCAGAAAGAAGCTACATCCCAGCAAAGAAAGTTGAGAAATAAAATAAATTAGTCAAGGACTAATTACAGAGGCTCAGAACAGGCACTGTCATTCCTTTGTGACCTGCATTTGTTTATTTGTGATTTTAAGACAGTGAGGTCTGACTTTAAAAATTACCTGTTGGGGGAAATGCACTTTACCATCTCCAAAGCCATTTTTCTTTGCCTCTACGTGATAGTAAAGATATTAAAATGCTTTCTAAAGGAGTGGATGCCATCTGTGCCCTGAACTGCCTCCCTTGCTCCATGATGTGTGATGGGGCAGCCCTGACTCCAATAACCCCTCACAGATACCAAGCCAAAATAAGCTCAAACCCAGCATTATCACCATCAAAAGTGCGACAAAAAAATCAGTATTTATAGAATCCTAGAATCACAGAACAGTTTAGGTTGGGGGGGAGTTTCAAGATAATACAGTTCCATCCCCTGCCATGGTCAGGGGGACTTTCTACTAGCCGAGGTTGCTCCAAGTTCCATCCAACCTGGCCTTGAACTCTGCCAGGGGTGGGAGAACCACAATTTTGCAGGACTCCACAACTTCTCTGGGCATTTTCCAAAGAGGAGATGAATATTTGTCCTCAAATTGTTCCAATTGCCCCAGAATGTGACACTTCTAAGCACTGTGTTAAGCATTGTGTGTCTTCAACATCCCTCAAGGAAAAATATCCAAAACAAAGGATTAAAACCATTTCCATTGCAATAAATACCCAAAATACCCATAAAACACATAACCCTAAGCCTGCTAAGTACCACAGTTTGTCTGTGGCTACCCCAGAGCTGTGGTCCCCAACATCCCCCTCCACAAGCACCTTGAGCCTCGGCTGTCACACCCTGTCCTGCCAAGGTGAAGGGTTGGTAATTTTTTAATGATAAGCTGGTAGGAAGAATGGAAAAAGGAAGGAAAAAAACTTTCCCTCCAGCAAAGGTGGCCCTGCCCATAGCAAGGGAGATGGCATGAGATGAGCTTTACGACCCCTTCCAACCCAAACCATTCTGGAACTCTACAAATCCAAAGTGTGAGGTTTTAGGCACTGGAAGTGACTTTTCTGGGCATTGCTGTGGGTAGAGGAGTTTTTGGTGGGGAGGGAATGAGGAGGGAGTTTTTGGTTCAGTGCACACAGCAGCAATTTCAGTTTGGCTGTGAGGCAGAGGCTTTGCATTTAATTCGGCTGGGAGTGGAGCAGGGAGCCAGCAAGGGCTCCTTGCAGAGTGGCGAGGGGGTTTTGGGGCCCTGCTGGCCCCAGGCTGCCCTGCTCTCACCTCTGCCTGCTTTGGGGCCTCACATATCATGTTTATTTTTCAACTTCCTCCTTGGAAAAAGTTGCTGCAGGTTTGCTGGGCTGTCCCATCGCCTCCCAGCCCAGCAGAGACAGCAGCCAGTCCCCTATGAGCCCCTCCACGGGGACCTCAGGGCAGGGCAATTCCCCGGTGGGCTGGGAACACTTCAATCCCTCCCAAATTTACTTTCCTAAGGGAAGCAGTGGTTCACCCACCGTGACCCCTCTCTTCCCTCCCCATGGAGTTTGGATGCCAAATTAAAGGGTCCATAAAGGGCAGGCAGGGGATCCAGGGGATCCAGGGGATCCCTTCCCATCCCACGGTGTGGGGTGACCTCCCCCCTGCCCGTGCCAGCCCTTGCCAACAGAGCCTTACCTGCCCTGGTGATCCTGGTGCTGCACCTGCTCCCAGGTGATCTGTGCTCCTCCCCTGCCTGTGGCACCCGCCTCACCTGCCTCCTCCCTGCCTCCCAAACCCCAGCTGGGAGGGAAAGGTGACCCTGGACACAGAGATCCCCCACTCCTGGGCACACCAGGTGCTTTAATTTGCAGTTTTCTCCCACAAAGGTAATCCATGATTTGCTGAATTCTGGCTGTCTCAAGGCCTTTCTTCTCCAGATCCTAATTTTCTCAGATTTTGTACAGTGATGAAATTTCCTTCAGTCAGAGTTCCCCATTACCCACCTCATGCAGGATGGGATACAGGGGAGCTGTGTGGGGCATTACCCCCCCCCCCCAGGTGCCTGCACCCCTCATCCCTAAAACACTGCATTAATTATTAACTGGATTAACTCCTTCAAAGCACTTCATTTTCCATGCTTCCCAGGTTTGATAGATGCCCCTCCTGGATACCCACTCCTAACCCATATTTCAACTCCAAATGCAATTTTCTGACCAAGCCTCCTATAAAGCTGAGTTTATCCTTAATAATACTTTCCACTTTCATCTCCAGTCCTGCAAGTGCTTTACAAATGTTAAATAATTAACCCTCATGACACCCTTGGGAGGGAGAGAAGTGTTATTATGGCTATTTGTAAAGGAAGCTCTGACAGGGCCTTCTGTGCTCCAGCCCTGGGTTTTACTCACTTTTAGGGAGCAGTGCAGCTACTTACAGTACTGAGAGCAACTACACCTGCCACAGGGAATTTGTAGTAAGAAAGCTGGATTTTAATTTTTTTAATATATCCACCCTGATTTATAAATTACTTGAGGTATAGAAGAGCTGTCTGCCAACCCTGTCTTTTTCTTTTATTATTATATTACTATTTTGATTCATTGACATAAAATCTATTCCCTCTCCTTGTCCCACAGTGTTGTTTAAACAGATGAGTTCTTAAATAATAAATAATTGTCAATTAATCCATCTTTCTCACCACTCAGAGAGCTAAGTGCTGCTGGAAGGGAGGAAGCATCCCACAGTCATCCTCTCCTTTATCAGTGATGGGGTTGGATGCCCAAACCCTCTGTGTTTTTCAGGTGGGAGAATTTAAATTTTTTAGAGGCAAAAGCCAAGCTGCAGATATTTTTTATCTCTTCATTAAATTGTTTCACAAATGTCCCAGGAGCCTGATGATGTTTTGCATCCCACAAACCCTGGAATAAATCAGAATTGATTGAGGGGTTTACACCCTGCTCCAGGCACATAGAAGGATTTACCAGAAATTTACCAGATTTACCCAGAAAACTACCCCCAAAACTGAGGCTGAGGAATAAAAGGAAGGAAAACAACTGTTGAGATGGAGGGCCTGGGAAAAATGAAAAATTATTGCTACAAGTGGTTCAAGTTGCTACAAGTTCATGAAAAAACCCCAAGAGATGTCCAAAAATGCCAATGAGACCCAAAAAAATGCCATGGAAAAGTCTTAGTCATGAGTGATGAAGTTGCTGTAGCTGTTACATAAGACCGAATTTAGCTAAAAACAAAACTTTTAGTTAAACTTGATTCTGAAATGGGAGCTTGTTCCCACCCAAAGCTCTGCTGAGTCATGTTGGTGTTTCTTGGCTACCAGGAAATTTGCACCTTCAAATATTTGCAGAACAAAATCATGGGTGTGTAGGGGGGTGGATCTTACTCTAAGGAAACAAATAACTTCTCTGGGAGCATTTATTGTAGAAAAGACCCTCCCTGATCTGGGGTTATGCAGAATGTCTCATTTCCAAGTGGTTCTGAAGAGTCATTTCCTGAGAAGACACATCAAAACCTGATGTCATCTCCACCTTATTCTTTATTCTTTATTCTTTATTCTTTATTCTTTATTCTTTATTCTTTATTCTTTATTCTTTATTCTTTATTCTTTATTCTTTATTCTTATTCCTTCCTAGAGCTCAGCCACTCTTAAAACCTTCCCAGTTCCTTAGACAGCCTTGAAACCACATGTAAACACTGTAAATTCTTCAGACATGTGTCCAGTTCAGGCTCTCTATCCACAGGCGCTGGGCTACCACTGGAGGTGGGCATCCTAGCCAGCACAGCGCATCCAGCCTAAAAAAACCAGTCCTGATCAGCAACTTTTCTCAATCTTGCCTTCCCATGAAATCAGTCCTGAAAAAATTTCAGAATTCCTATTTTAGGAATTTTTGAGGCCTCAAAAAAGCTCTTCTGTGTCCTGCCGATCTCTAATTTTCCACCTCTGATGTCTGTTTTCTCTCTGCTTATCTCACACAGAGCTGCAGCTCCTAAACATATCCACAGGAGATATGGCAGCTAAGAACACCCTGGTGCTCACCCTGATGTGAACATCTCTTCACATCAACATGCAAAGCTAGGAATGACCAAGAAAACAGGAGTTTGCTTCTTTGGGAGTCATCTCAGTATGCTGTCTCGTTAGACAATACCTGCAGTCTCCGTGGATGCAGCTTGGGATTCAGGCTGGTGCGTGCCGTGGGAGTGATGCTCAGAGAGAGCTCAGAACTAACAGCTCAGAGAAATGGGGGAAATGATGGAGTGTCAGAGCCAGGAAATTAGTTACTGCATTTTCCTGTGTTGGCAGAGGGGTCGGGTGAAAGAGTCATTTGCCATGTGGCCACATATCCGGAGAGAGGAGCTGCATAGGCTGCCTGCAATTTTAAGAGGCAGGAAAATGGGAAAGCATTTTCCTGCCTCTTAAAGCTGGCCACACACAGATATTTGTCTGATCCCTTGCTGGAACAGCAATGTATTTTCCAATCAAAATGATGATGTCTCGTTTTCCTTCTCCTCCTCCTGCACCCACAAACCTTGCCTGTGTCATGAAGGCAAAAGGTTTTGTACTTAGAGGCTCCCATTTCTAAGTGAGCCACCTCTTGTGGCACCTCCCTAAGCCTTCCTGGTACCCAGGGAATGATCCCTCACAGCACCCTCCCATCTCAGTGTTGTTTGTCACCTGAGTGCTCACCCATCATGTGCAACCCAGATTTTCAGTGGTGCTGAAGTACCTTGGAGCAGGGGAAGGGGCAGAGACCTGCAGCTGCTCCATAGTACCATCACCTAAATTTATTCCTCTCCATGGGCCACTTCAGTCCACACGTAGAGAAAGATGTGGAATGTAAAGTGCCCTGGGAGATGACAAGGGACCCACCAGACTCTCCCCAAAATGTGACCTAATTCTTGCAAATGCCCTGTTCTCATGCAAGGAGGTTGAGGAAGGAGTTTTCCAGATGACAAAAGGAGGAGGTGAATAAATCCAATATGGCACAACTGCAGCTGTGGAGAGCAAACGGCATCCGTGCACAGCCAGGAGGAAAAGGGGCAGAATGGGGCAGGAAAGGTGATGTAAGCAAAGACAACTCCCAGAAATGACTCTGTTACAGCCCTGTGATGAGAGCCCAGCTAGGAAAGAACAGGCGAGAATGAAATAAAAGCAGAGAGGGCTCAGCCCTGATGTGATTCTAACTGCATCAGTCCCAGCTGGATGCCAGAATTGAAGCATGCTTGGACATGGCAAAAGCATTAATAAGGGACAGAAAAGGAAATTTGTGTAGCCAGCTGAAAGAAGAGGATGAGAAAGAGAAGGCCGAGCATGAGACAACAGTGACAGGCAACAGTGAGGAAGGTTCAGGGAGAGGTGGTGAAGGTTAAAGATGAAAACAACGGCACCTAAAAGGAAGCACAAAGTGGCCAACCTGTGGGAAATTTCAACAGAATAAAAAAATAACTCACAGCTGATGAGCAGTTAAAAAAAATAAATGGGAACACAAGGAAATGTGCCCTTAAAACACCTCAGATGGAGAGTGACCCATCTAGGAGAGGTGCAGGGAAGCTGGGCAACCCTCAGGGCTGTTCCATCAACATTGTCCCTGGGAGCCAGACAAAAATCTTCACATCCTGGGAGGTTTGATTTGGGGATTTTCCCCCTCCATCCAGCTGCCATTCAGCAATGATGGAGCAAGGGCACATCTCGGTGGCAGAGGGAGGAATATCACCTCCCCAGCCAGGCTCGGCCTTGCTACTCGTAGCCAGATCACCTAATAAAGCAAGAGGAATTTGGGCAGAGGAATTAATTCATCTTCAACACCTGGAGCTGGAAGAAATGTCTCTGAGTGACAGTGAGATTACTGGGGATATAAAGCTGTGAGGAGCCAGAAGGTTCAGATGTGGTAGGTAATTTCATCTGAAAAGAGAGAAAATCAGTTCATCATTTTGACATGTTAACACTGAGCCCTTTGCTTTTGAAATTAGAATTGGGAAGTGTCATTCACACTTATATTTCATTGTTTTTCTTTCTTGTAGTCATCGTCTTTACAATCTTCCCCCTCTTATCCTTCTCTCCAGCACTCCTGCTCCAACTATATTTCCCAAGTAAACATTTATCATTTCTGCTACATTTCATTTAATTTTCAATCTTAAAAGTTGAACTACCATTAAAAGATACCATGGAAAACTATACCTAGGGTCAGGGAGGAAAAGCAACTTCAAACCCCAGCATTTATTGACCTTTAAGCAATGGAAACACAACTCTGATAGGGTGCAAACCAGCATCTCCCCCACTCTCTGCAGAAACAACTTTGGATGTCAAAGCAATCTAGCCTTCCCTGTAAATTCATCCCCATAGAGGAGGATGCTTTGGGAAGCAGTTGCTGAAGTTTTTGGGAGCAGACTTCACACCCGAGAGCTTGCACTGGGGATTTGTATTGTTAAACGGCTGAAGAGAGGTGGGAACTGGGGGCTGGAAGGGTTCCTTGAGATGGAGGGATGTAGGGATGTGGGATGCCTCCCCAGCCTCGGGGACCGGCTACCGCACGGCGGCCAGACATGTCCCGGATGTGCAGAACGGAACCCCGGGAATATTTGGGAACACTAGGTGGAGCTGAGGGCTCACGGAAAGGATCCCTTTCTATCACAGAGGGATGCTCCGGGGTGCGAGGGTGAAGGGCTGGGGGGGAGGGGGCAGGGGCTGCAGCCCCGTTTGGGGGTTGGCTGGGAGCACAGGTGTGAGAAGCTCCTTGTGTCACTTTTTCACATTCTTCCCTCTCCAAAGGCACTTGGCCAGCAGCTGGACAGCTGCCCTGGTTTCAGGAAAACCAGCTCTGTCCCAGTTCCTTCTCCCTCTTTCCCGGGGTTATACCCGACATCACATCCCTGGTTTGC